GCAAGAAACTCTTCATGTTTTCCTGTCATGGAAGGTGCACCATCATCTGTACAGACACTCACTAAATTTACCAAATTCAGTCCAACTTCACAACATTTATCTTTTTTTTTTTTTTTTTTTTTTGAGACAGAGTCTCACTTTTGTTGCCAGGCTAGAGTGAGTGCCATGGCGTCAGCCTAGCTCACAGCAACCTCAAACTCCTGGGCTCAAGCGATCCTCCTGCCTCAGCTCCCCAAGTAGCTGGACTACAGCATGTGCCACCATGCCGGCTAATTTTTTGTAATATATATTTTTAGTTGGTCAATTAATTTCTTTCTATTTTTAGTAGAGACGGGGTCTCGCTCAGGTTGGTTTCGAACTCCCAACCTCGAGCAATCCGCCCGCCTCGGCCTCCCAGAGTGCTAGGATTACAGGCGTGAGCCACCACGCCCGGCCCACAACATTTATCTTGAAAGTTGCTGAAGATGTCTATTCCCTGTGTTCTCTTCATAAGAGTGTCCGTGAGTAATTTCTTAACAAAGAAAATGGTATGACCCAAATGAAGTGTAAAGCCCATGCTGAGTCAGTGATATCAGCTGATTCATCCAAAGCAACTGAATAATATGTATTCTCTTTTTGAAGTATTGCCTGAAGTTGTTCTGTCAAGTTGAAGGCTAATTCATGCTGTTGATCTGTTATGGTTCTCCTTGGGAGAGGCAGTTCTTTGTACTTTGAAACATTACTGGGGTCTAAGCATCCTACAGCTTCAACAATGCATTATTTCATAATTTCCACATCACTGAATGGTTTCCCTTTTTTCCAGAGTATATATGCTACAAGTTCCCTACCTGAGTCAGGGCCTGGCTCTGGATTAGGCTTGAATCCTTTTATCAAGCCTAAAGTTTCCGAACATTCTGCTTTATTCTCTTTGTCTCTTGATTAAACATATTTTATTTTTGCTTCTTCTTCCACCAAATATATATAGATTATTATTATAACCAATCTTTCATCTACCTGTAAAACTTGATCATTTAGAACCACCTATATTTCTGTATATTAAATCCATCTATCTAACTCTGTGTGTGTGTGTGCATTTATTTACATGTTTAAAATATCCAAGTTTTTTATGTGCCTAAGTAGAATATAAATGCTTGGAGAAATGAGTATATTATTATGGAAAATATTTTTTATCTCTTTTATGAAAACTAAAACCCATATAATGTCATCATGTTTTATATTTACATCAAAATGTTATATTTCGCCATGGCCCCAGGATAATATTTCCAATTCCTACATTACCTCAACTACTCTTCAAATTATATTCTAAATCAGCTTTACTTCTCCTTCATTTTAGAGTCAAGAGAAATTTTCTAAGAATGATAAAATTTGACTTTCATATATTATTACCTTTGGTTTACAAACTTGAATCAACTTACTTTTTTCCTTTACAGTTAGATTCATTCATTCCTTTATTCACCAACAACAGGGACATTGATTGACTATGTATGCATGCAGAGATGTTGTGTCCGGTTTGATCTTCTGCCCAGACCAGGGGTCCTCAAACTTTTTAAACAGGGGGCCAGTTCACTGTCCCTCAGACCGTTGGAGCGCCATTGGAGAGTGCGGCGCACATTCCACACATGCGCACTGTGGGCCCGGGACGAGCCGGCTGCTAGGCAGGACAGGCAGTGGCAGCAAAAATGTCCTTGGCAGGCTGCATGTGGCCCGCGGGCTGTAGTTTGAGGACCCCTGGTCCAGACCATTAAAACTTTCTTCATATCAGCAACAAGGCCGTTTTGTTTTCTAATCATTCATGTGTTCACTGAAGTAGCACTTTTAATTTTCTTCAAGAACTTTTCGTTTGTTTTCACAGCTCAGCTAACTGTTTGGCTGGCACAAAGAGCCCTAACTTTCAGCCAGTCTCTGCTTTTGACACACCTTCCTCACAAAGCTTAATCGTTTCTAGCTTTCCATTTACAGTAAGACGCATGATTCATCCTTTCGCTTGAACATTTAGAAGCCATTGTAGGATTATTAATTGGCCTAATTTCAACATTGTTGTATCTCAGGAAGTAGGGAGGCCCGAGGAGGAGAGAGATGGGGGAACCACTGGCCAGCGGGGCAGTCGAACAACACACATTTACCCATTAAGTTTATCATCTTATATGGGCATGGTTCGTGGCACCCCAAAACAATTAGAATAACCACATCAAACATCACTGATCATAATAGATATATGATAATAACGAAAAAGCTGCAAGAATTAGCAAAACGTGCCACAGAGACACAAAGCGAGAGCATGCTGTTGCAAACATGGAGCAGACAGACTTGCTCAGCACAGGGTGGCCAGAAATCTTCAATTTGTAAAAAATGTAGCATCTGCAAAGTGCACGAAAGCAAAGTGCAATAAAACCAGGTATGCCTGTAAATAGATGCAGAATTCAGTAAAATTCAGTAGAATTTACACTCAAAAATTTCTACAATAAAAAGTAACTAGAAAAGGAGACAGCTCTTGTTAGCTAAAGCCACACCGAGGGAGCTCCACCGAGGGTCTGGGTTTCTGAACCATCCCGAGACGCAGGACGTGTGGGTTTGGACTGGAGCATCGGTTTACGCAGGGGCCACTTCTGGCCTTGCAGAAAGGGAGGGGAGCCCTGTGCTGCCCTGGCCCCCGATCGCACCGGGTGGGGACAGAGTCAGCGACAGCAGGCAGCGAGTTCTTTCTTCTCAGCTCCCCCCAACACACTGCAAAAGTCTGAGCATCATCCTTGTGTTCTGATTTTCTACTGGTGAGATGTGAATGTACCAAGTATAGGACATACATTTTTTTTATCTATTTCATTTCTGTTTTCTATGTCGCCTGATAATCTGATTAAACTTCTCTACCTGTGTTCTTGGAATCAGCAGCATCAACAATCTTAATGTTTTATTAAGCTTTTCAAACACGCCATCAATCCCCAAGCCAGAACGCTGAGCTTTACGTGGCTTTAGTCCCAACACAGCTTCCCGGGGATATTTGCCAAAATATTCTTGGATTCGCTCATAATCCATTTACCAACTTCCATTTGAAGGATAATTGTTTGTGTAAAATGTCAACCGTATTATTATGCCTGTTGATGGCTACCTAGATGAGTTGGTACATTATAGAAAAATAGCAAATAAATAAGAATATAATGATAACCAAATGTGGAAAATCAAAGGAATAGGCTCACTTTCATTCCAGATGTCACTACATGGTGCCAAAGCTCCAGACGAAAACTGAAGGAGTCACACATCTGGATGTTTGTTTACCTGCTGCCAAATGTCTACACATTTGGACAGATCGGGGAGATGGATAGTTTTCAGTGCTACAGACACAGATGTCGCTACAGCAATTCAAGGAAGACCAGACTTAGACGATGACGACGATGATGTTGAAGAGAAAGTTGGAGGGAGAAAAGTCCAGGAGACGGGTGTGTTATGGGAGAGTAAAACGCAAGACAGTAGCGGTGACGGATGATCCCACAGGTGTGCACACAGCTACACAGTATCACCACGGTGTTGCCGCAGACTGGGAGGGTTTAATGGAGATACCGTGTTATTTACAGAGGTCTTTTATCGCTGTCTTTATTCAGGAGGGGGGAGGCTGGGAAGGTATGAGAGGAATTTCTAAGCGCGATATTCGCTTGCACCCTTGAGCCAGCTAACTGACCTCTCTCCACACTGGCTCATAAATTTCCAACCCTCGAGTCACGGGTCTGAAATACAAATTGCCCCCCGAAATAACAGTAAAAACAAAGAGTGTGTCATTTCTTGTGGCATTTTGTTTCTGCAGCTAGCCTTTGATCTCTGCAGCACAGGCCGGTCTGCAGGCATATTGAGAAATCAAGTTCCCAGTGTTGGTTTTTTTTTTTTCCATTTCAGCCATTTGTCAGCATAGCTATAAAACCTGAGTTGTCTCTCTTGATCTTTATCAGAGATCCCAGTTGCCTTTGATCCCCTCCTCCTCTGTGTGTGACATTTGTGCACGGCTTCCCCATTTAATTGTCTGACTTTGGGTTGCTATTTTAGTTTAAAAGTTAACAGTAGTCTTTTTTTTTTTTAACTTCTAATATCTGTAAGCCAGCCCTCCAGGTAGAGTACTGTGGGTTCCCAGTGACAGCTGGTCAATGAGGGCAGCAGCGCCGGCCTCCGTTCGGTTTTGCACACACAGGAACTTCCTGAAATTGCCGGGAGAAACGCCCTGCAGAAAAGTTCACCGGTCGCCACCAGCCTTGGTTTGCCAGTGTCTGCGTGGAAGACAGACACCAAGGCTGCCTTGCAAAGTGCAAACCCCGTTTCCCGCAGGGCACCAGCCTACCCGGTTCACCCAGCTTCCTCAGTTTACCCACATGTGCCCCCTTTCACTTTGACGACCACGGAGTAGAAGGCGAACTTGAAAAGGGGATGTGTGTGCACCCTCCCTACCTGCTCCCTGTCCCGTTTGAGTGTTGAGGATCTTGGCAGATCTCCCTCCCGGGGGGCGGGGGGCCTCCGGAGCCCACTCTCCCTGAACGCTGAGGCTCTTGGTGCCAATTTCACACGTGATAGCCACATTCTCTGTCGGGACTTTTTAAAAGGTAGATTCAGGGGGTGCAAGTGTTATTTGTTAGATGGATGAGTTTTACAATGGTGCAGTCAGGGCGTTCAGCGTACCCGTCAGCAGAAGGTGTGCGCCGTACCCGATAGGCAAGTTTTGATCCTTCACCTCCCTCCCACCCTCTTCTTGGTTTCCTCCGCTGGGACTTCTATCCGCAGATCTCAGGAAAAGGAGGCTGGCGTTGCCGTGCGCAGTGCTTTACAAACGCCTTTATACCATCCTCACCCCCATGTTGCACACGCGGAGGCCGAGGCTGATGAACGCCATAGATGAGTTTCTTCCCTCTCTCCACCACTTCTGTGCTTTTTTAAGACTCCCGCCTTTTCTCTCGTTTCTGGTGTTGTACAGGCACCTGTGGGCTCCCACAGCTCAGTGCTCAGGCCTGTGCGGTGCAAAGGGCAATGGCCGAGTGCTGCAGGCAGCGCCCGGCGTGGGGGGGGCGCTCACGCCTCGCGCCAGAACAAAACACTTAAGGGCACGCTTGAGACTGCACAGAACACTTCAGACGCGGCGGGTAAGCAGGCCCGCGCTCCCCCGAGGGGGCTGTAGGGGGGAAGGGCCACACGGCACAGTGAGTCTTTTCCTGGTCCCTTTGCTGGCCTCTGGCTCTGCGTCCTGAAGATGCCTCCGCACCCCGGGGCCAGCGACTGATCCTCCAGGATGGGGGTCTTAAACCCAGAATGCAGTTTCCAAGGAGGGACCCCCCTGGGGAGCAGGGCAGGCAAGGACACATGTTGATTGATGACAGACTCCTCCTTTGTGACACGCATCACAACTGTGATTACACAAGTATCAGTGGGGATTTGCTTAGTGTCTCTCCCCTGGGAGGCTTGTGGTTGCCTGCGAGCAGGGTCTGCGACTGTCCCGTTAAGCCCGGACTGCCCCGTGCCTCTGCAGAGCCCGGCATGCAGCAGGTGCTCGGGTAACACTGGCTGGGTGACCGAACGAGGCGCTCGCTCAGGTAGCATCCCATCAGGTGAGCCGGGGACAGTGAGGGCAAGCCCAGGCCCCCAGGTGGAGAGGGACGCTGGCCAGAGGGGAGAATCAAAGCCTCAATGGGGCAACGAGGAGTCAGCCAGAAGAGGGTGGCTCAGTCGGGGTGGAAAGCAGGTGTCAGGGGGGCCCCGAGGTTCAGCCTGGCGCCGGGCAGGAGGCCTGGGCGGGGAGTTGGGGACCAGGGGCTGGCGGCTGGCGGGTCTAGAGAAAGGAGCTGGGTGGGCAGGAGCAGGCGGTCTCTTGACTTCCTCCTGCGAAGACATCAGAGAACAGGAAGAATAGAGAGGGAGGGATGAAGAGAAAGGGGGAAGGATGAGGGGTGGAAAGGAAAGAGAAAGGGAGGGCACAGGAGAGAGGGAAGGGAGGAAAAGAGGAGGGGGGAGAGATGGACACAGAAGATGGACAGTAGGAAGGGAGGGAGGAAGAAAAGAAAGGGAACAGAGGGAAGGAAGGAGAGGAAAAGAGTTTCCCTCTTCTATCAGTAGGCAAGGGAGGCGAGCGTGATGATTTTATAAAACATCACGAGAGGGAGACAAGCAGTGGAGGGAGGGAGCAGCTCCTCTGTGACCTGGGGGGGGGGAGCTTCTGCGTCTCCGAAACGACAGCCGAGATTGACAGGAAGGAGACGGCGGGCAGGAGAGGATAAACAGCAGCGAGGCTCATTTGTAACTTTCATTTTCAGGTAAGGATGATTGGCACGCGGGCGGCTGGGAGGAAGGCGGCCCCCTGATCTTTAACTTGCAGGTCACGTGGAGAAAACTTTGAGAAAATGCCCCGACATGGAGATGTCAGCGTGAGTGACAGCCCGTGCGAGGTGCCGCGCACCGGCCGCCTCGCTCACACGCATGGCTTCACAGAGATGATGGCTGCCGTTTGAACAGGAAGACACCCTTCCCGGCCGGGGTCAGGAAACTGACGGGGCCCACCCACTAACAGAAATAACTGTCATTTGAGATAAAATGCTCGGTGGGAAACTTCAGAAATCTATTAGGTAAGACGGGGGGCTGTGATGGGGCACCCAGGAACCACCGCAGGGGCGCTGGCGCCAAGACGTGGCGCCACGCGTGGGGGACGCTTAGATCCAGAGTGGCCCACTCAGCCGGCCACACGGCCCCTCATGCAGAGCGAGTCACCGCCTCGCCCTAATTCACAGCCCACCTAGATCTTCGCTGGGAGCTTTCCTTGCGGGACAGGGCAGGAGGCACCTGAGTGAAAACGTGAATGACAGCACAGTTTCTGATTGGACGGTCTCTTGCGGCAAAAACGTTTCTGATGATGGGGCTCTTTGGAGAAGGTTCTTTCCTGACAAAAAACAAAGCCCCCTGTGCACGCTCCTGAGAGAGGCTCAAAGCCTAGGACTTGCTCTGAGCTGTCACAGTGTCTTATTTTTTGAGCAACTAAAATACTGCATCAAGATACTCGGCTACTCAAAAGGATAACAAGGTATTTAGGCAATTTCCCTTAAACGTTCAGTAAATTTCTTAATCAGAGGGTCCTAAACGACACAAAAATGGTGGTGCTTGATGATAGACTCGCAGAAGAGGGCCCGTTATGGCCTGTTCTTGGGCATATGATGTCTGTGGTTTGGGCTCAGGCTGATGGTGTAAATAGCAAACGTTGGTGTCATGCCCTACATCTGTCATCTCCTTTGATACAATCTTTAGAGCAACACTACAATGAACAATAATGTACCCATTTCACAGAGAGGACCACTGAGGTGCAGAGTGGTCAAGTGACTCTCCCAGGAAGAGCCAGTTTGTGAGAAATGGAACCCTTCAACGCCAAGTCCTCTGACTGCAGGAACTGGGACACTCCTGACAGGTAGGTCTTCTACCCGTCACTTTGTGGATGAGAATACTGAGCCTCGGAGGTTGTACGGCCCATGAGAATTACAACCGGAATTCAACCCCAGTCCACTCTTCATGCTGCAAAGAGCTTTCAAAGGAGACTGTATCCGCCTTCTATTCCTGGGTAACGAATTTCCACAGATGCCGTGGCTTAAAACAACACCCATTTATTATCTCACAGTTCTATAGGTCAGAAGTCCACAGGGCTTGCCTGGTTCTGCTCAGGGTCTCACAAGACTGAACTCAAGGTGTCCACCAGCTGGGCTTATATCTAGAGGCCCCGGGGAAGAATCTGCTTCCAAGTTCATTCAGGTTGTTGCAGAATTTAGTTCCTTGTGGTTGTAGGACTGAGGTCCCCACACCCTTCCGACCCAAGAAAGGAACGAGGCATGCTCCCTGCTCTCAAGGAAACAGCCCAATGCACCCAAGTCCAATAGACCCAAGTGTTGCAGGATGCACGTGTCCCTCAACACCCAGCCCCAGCCAACAAGTCCCGGGCTATCCTGCAACTCAGGACACCTGTTTTTGTCAAACCCCCGCTCCTACTCCAAGAGTTTCTGAGCATCTCTGAGGAGGCATTCGTTCCATGAATCCGGCTGAATCGGAATTTGTCACCTTGGCCACATGTGTCCAGTCCCTTATGTCACCCTCATTGTCTGGGCCACCAGAGGTCTCCTTATCCATCCAAATGTGGACACAGGCATGTTAACTTAGTTCTGCAAAGTTGAACAGAGACTACTAGGTCATGGGGAGGACCTTGGAGGCTGGCAGGGTAGGGGGGACTGCAGTGCAGGCGAGGACAGTTTCTAAATCTCTTCTGGAACCCAGGCCTGGCGTCTACCAGCCATGCCTTCCCAGGGACCCTGTTTGGCATTCTCTCTCCCTAGGTGTCCATCCCAGAATGCCACTCTCGACAGGGCCAGCCCTCTCCAGGAGTGAGGGGGACAGCTCTCATCAGTCCTCCAGCCCAGAGTCCATTCAGCTCAGGGGAGGGAGGCCCACCTCTCCCCCACAGCTGGATTCCCGTCAGCCGAGTCATGGTCTTGGCTGAGATGGAAGACAGCCTTGTGTGTCGGGACACGGTGCTCAGTTGATCACACTGTGGCCTCAACCCCTCCATCCCAGTGTGGACTTGGAGCTCTACTTTGCATGGCCCCGAGGACATTGAAATGTCCTTCCCACCCTCAAGCAGACAGACATTCAGTCTCTCCCCAGGGACAAGGTTAGCGCTAAGGAGGAAACTGTGCGTAACATTAAAACTGCAGTTTCCCTCATTTTTAGCCATCAAGATTTAAGCGTATGTCCATACATCCAGGTGAGTTTGGCGTCAGAGCACCCCGTTAGCAAACATAAAATAAGACCTGGGATGCCACGAAGGAGAGTCCCGGGTCAAATTCCCTGGAATAGACTCTGCATGGGGCGTGCGTGCCGAAGGCGTCTGGGGGTGGACGCAGAAGGCAGGGAGGACCGGCCGGAAGGAGAAGAGCATCCACGACGCAGGTGCAACGGGGGCCCCGGCTGAGCCCGTGGGAGCTATGAGGCCAGGGGTGCCCTTTAGCCTTGTCCCGGGACGGAGGGAAATGGGCCGAGCTTTGTCTGCCTGCTTCAGCTGTCACTGGCCACAGACTGCCCCGGGGAGGGGCGCAACCCTGGGTAAGGCTGTTCGCTGGGACTGAAGGCAATCGCCAGCGAGGGCCGCAGGTGGAACAGCTGGGGGGTGCGTGCTTTGGTCCTACAGAGGGGATCTGGGCACAGTCCCCAGAATCCGCTACAAGGAGGCACCAGGGAAGGCTGAGGGTTACAAAAGAGGGAGAAGTTCATCATCCAGGAAGGCTCCCTGGAGGAGAACTGACAACACATGAGCAGCCTTTCAAGGACGATTAGGACGTGGAGGACAGACCTGCCTCCCAAATGCTGTGGCCCCAGGATCTGTGCCCACCCGAAAGCCCGCTGCGGTCGTGAGGTCTACAGCCGTCTCTCCTGCCTCTGGGAAGCGGGAGGCTTGGGCTCTGCGACTCTAACAGGGTCTGACCCCGCGATCTTCTGTCCGTCAGGAAAACGCACAGGGAAATAAAAATAATGGAGAGGTTAATTAATGGTGCCTGCAGACTCCCTTTTAACCTCCTCCACTTCGCTATGTCAATAATAACTCGAGAGTAGACTTTCCCCAGGATATTCCGAAGCGTGACTAATTGCAGTAACACTGAACACATCACCCCCCACCATCCTCTCCAATTTGGAAAATGATTTTGCCCTTTTCCAGATATCTGGTGCAAGACGGGTGGATTCATTTGGATGCAGCTCCGGAGTAAAAGCTCGCTCACTAGGCTCTGGGCGCCCTGAGTGACGCCGTGCCACTTCTCTGGAAACCACGGCCGGCAATAGCCTGACAAGAGACGCGCTGTCGGCGCAGGAGGGCGGAGGCCGGTGGAATCCTCTGCCTCAGTTTATTAAAGTGCTTTCTGAGCATTCATCTAGAATCACATCGGCAAGATTTCTTTCTCTGAAAGTCAGTTTTGCTTCTAAGACATTCACGTTGGTTTTCCGAAGGTTGTGCAAATACATTTGTGTATTAATTTTTATGTAACTCCTGAGACATCAGGCTCTTGGCATTGGTCTGAACAGAAAGGCTGATGAGGACCAGGCGGTTGACATGGCCCTGTGGGAAGTGATGGGCATGTCTGGAACACGTTAGGGACATGTGAGGCTGTGCTCGCCGCGGCACAGATCATCAAAGAGGGAGCTCTGCCGCACGTTTACTGTGTGCCCCGAGCAAGGTGCTTGTGCAGATTACAGAAATGGCCGTAATTTATTTGACTTCCTCTCTCTGCCCCCTTGCATGGTCCCCTCCCACACTGGCTCTGCACTGGCCTGTGTCTTGCTTCGGCTACTGGGACATCAGCAAACAAGCCAGCAACCGCTTAAAAAGTGCGTGTTCACTGGGGCTCACTCTCTCGCTGTCCTTGAAACCCAGGCTAGCGTGCCGGGACCGGAGAGCACACGTGCCAGCCACGGCCGTCCAACTGCCACACAGGCGGGTGAGGCCGTGTCAGGCCGGTCAGCCTCCAGTTGACCTGCCAGCTGGCCAGGGGCACACAGTGCCTTGCGGAGATCAGCAAAAGAGAAGCCATCTGAGCCCAGTCTAAACCGCTGACATATGGCATTGTGAGCTAAAGAAATGGTGGCCTGAAGGCCCCCCCCCGTGTGGTGACACACACCTGTAGTCCCAGCTACTCGGGAGGCTGAGGCAGGAGGATCGCTTGAGCCCAGGAGTTTGAGGTTGCAGTGAGCTACGATAATGCCACCCTGTCTGTCCCCACCCCCAAAAAGGAAATGGTGGCCTTCGACACTGTTTGGGAGTGCCTTGCTATGTAGCAAAAGCTAATTGATGGGATACTCACCTGTGTCTCTTCACCTATAAGGTGGAGAGAAATTACCTGATTGGTAGTGTTTATTGAAGCTGACCTGAGTCCTGGCCCCACAGTGGGTGCTCCAAATTTATTTGTTCCTTCTTTTTCTGAAAAAGATGAGACAGAGTGTGTAGTTGGTTGGATTAATGGCCGAGTTCTTCACCCCTCTCTACCACCACATCTTTGCCATGGACCTTTTCTGGGGGATGCACCTGCCCTTTGGCTTTGGGCTTGGCCATGTGACTTGCTCTGGCCAGTGGGATCTGGGCAGAAGTGGCAGTGACTGGGTTTGGGCCTAGACCTTAACAGACCTGGAGGGTTTCCACTTGGCCCTCTAGCGCTCCTGCTATGGGTATCAGGAGCACATGCTCTGGACAGGCCACCAGCCGCAGCATGAGGATGAGAGCAACATCCTTGTAGAGCAACCCACCTGCCAAATTCTCCCCACCCAGAGCAGTTTGAGGCATGGCTCAGCCTAAGCTAGTTGACACCAGCTGAGCCACACATGAGTGAGAATGCATCACTATTGTTTTAAGCCACCAAGTTTGGGGGTAGTTTGTTACACGGCATTATCGTGGCAATGCCTAACTGATACAGAGAGCACCCCCACTCACTGACCACATTTGAACGTCTTTGCTCTGGAAACTCCCACAAGTATTTGGAAACAAGGCCAAAGGAGAGCAGGTGTGGCAGGGGCTGGCCCCCTCTTACTTCTGCCACCTGCTTGTGGCCTATGAAGATGCTCGTGAGCCACTGCAGGTGCTCTGCGGGGAGCAGCAAACGGAGGGTGATGAGGCTCTCTCTCCACAGCTCATGGACAATCTGCGTGTCAGGCGCTGTGCCAAATGCTCTGTGCGTCAGCCCTCCCAACCTCAGAGCAGCTCCAGGAGGCAGGTACTATAATCACACCTGCTCCCCTAGTCAGAAAATAGAAACTGGGCAAGACTGAGAAGCATAGCCCAGGGCTCTTGGGTCCAGAGTTGAAATGCGAGATCCAAGCCACGGCCAGTGTCTCTCACTCGACCGCAGTTCAGCAGCTAATTCCACTTGGTAAAACCAAAATCTCTTGGATTTCAGTTTTTGCCAGACTGGGACAGTGCTATTGGCAAGGCCCAGAAGACTGTTGCTTTGAAATGCAACATTTCCATTTATGAGTTGCAGCATGCCTTTGCGAGGGAGAACACTGCCTCATGCCCAGACGCTGCGTTCATGATGGGTGCACCACAATTGTTTCTTACTTCCTTTCTTTCTTTCTTTTCTTTTTTTTTTTAAGAAATCTCTGTGCAAATGTGCAGCAGAGTACGCACTTCTGCAAACAGGTTTAATTTTCACACCTGAGTTGGCTGCAACTTCAAAGAGAGCAAGTATTGTTAGGCAGAAAAAAGCTTCCACAAACAGAAAGTACAATATGGAAATTTGTTGCAAGTGAACAATAAGATTGGAACTCTGGTCCCACTCACATATGCTTTTCTGTCACACAGATGACCCTCCTTAGGGGAGCATGCTATTCATTTGTCAAACTGGGCCACCTGTAAGAAGGAAAAGGGGGCTGGGGAACAGGTGTAACTGGGAACGTTCAGGGCAAACCAGGTGTGTGGTCATCCATCCCGTTAGGAGAGCTTACAAGAATACTGGCCGCCAACCTTTGGCATTCACGGAAAGAACCCTTTCACATACTCTTGAAGCAGCATCTGACTATCATTTTACAGGTGACAAAACCGGGGCCCAGAAATTGGCTTTTATGTGGCGTGTTAACAATCACGTGCATGGCAAAGTGGCAACTCAGATCTAGGGTTTCTAACTCCAGATCTTAGATTCTTTCTTCTAGAGGAATTCGTGATGCCCATAAAGTTGTTTTCAAAAACCTGCGCGTGGAGGTCACTGGATGAATATTTGTCGGACGAATGAGTGAATGTAATGGCCACAAAAAATAACAAGTAACACGGCAGTGCTATATCTCGTGATTTCATGAAGAGCTCAGAGGTATTTTGTAATGCAAGAGAAAGGCTCTGTTCTGTTGGAACTTCTCTGAAATCTCCTAATAACTTAATTGCTCCTTAATATGAAGAGGCTCTGCCAATATCCCCTTCTTCTGTTCTTAGGTTGCTAAAAATGAGTACTTTGTTCTTTCCGGCGTGGGAGGATTTGGGGGGAGCTCTGTACTCCGCACTCTCGAGAATCGCATCTTTTCATGTGGTCCCCACCTCCCCTCGCTCTCGCCTGCCAGCCCGCCTTCCTCTTGCGTTTCAAGATGCTCTTTATGTGTGGCCTGTCCTTCTACGTGGTGTCAGGGACGCTGCTACCTTTTACTGAGGCTTTGAAAGGCCCCCTCTCTCCCTCCGAAGTTTCCACCCGGCTGTGTTTGCCGTAAACACTTGTGAAATCAGTTAAGTGGTGTCATTCCCTGAGTGCTTCTTTCTAACATTAGTCTTCATTTCTCTGGAGAAAAACGCTTTCTTCCCTAAGAATCGGAGACAGTAGGGAGTAGGTAGTAACAGTTTGTCCTACTAAGATATTTTGGCCACAGCGCCCATGAATATAGCTTTTAGTGATTTTTTTTTAAAAGTAATCTTTTCTAGAAATAAACTCATGACAAAGAAGGAATGCATGTTCTGATCTTTCTGTGCTCAGCGTCCTTGGCTCCCTTCTCCTTCACAATCTCTGCTAATTTATTGTGGTGCCGAGTATCGGAGAGACGTGCTTTGATCCTGGGGGCGGTCGTTCTCTGTCCTCCTGGAGGAGGCGCAAGGATTTCTGAGCCGCCCCCCCCAACATGCGCAATGAAGCTCACCTCAGCAAAGAACCTGAAGGCTGGACCAGTGTCCCTCTTAGCACCGGACACGGGAGCCCCACGTTCGCACACGTGTGTGGCATTAACCTGCAGTGTCCAGGCAGGACACGGTTGTCGGCCAGGCCCCTGCTGAACGCCGCAGTGGGCACTTGTCAGCTAAACCACAGATCCTGAAGTGAAGATAGAAACAAGGGACCCCCTCCGCCAGGGCTCTTTGGCCTTCCTGTCCCCGCAAGCTGCACAGGACACTGTCGTGCTCCTCCCGGATCCCAGCTTCCGTGCATTCGTCTCTTCCGCCAGCCCTGCACCTGTGGCTGCTTCAGAGGCCCACCCCAGGGCTACTGGAGCCAGTTTGCCCACGTGTCCTGGAGCCCGAAGGGCCCGAGAGATTGTGCTCCCCTGGGTGCGGGGCAATGACGCCCACTCCCAGGCTCAGAGCTCAGGTGTAGCCCGTGCTCCAGAACTGCCCTTGGGGGCAGGCTGAGGCCAACTGCATCCTGGCTTGGCCTCGTCCCTCTCCCTGCCCCTACTTCCACCTGTCCTCACCCCCACTCCCACCTGTTCCTACCCCCACTCCCACCTGTCCACACCCCTACTCCCACCTGTCTCCACCCCCACTTTCACCTGTCCACACCCCCTCTCCCACCTGTCCCCATCCCCACTCCCACCTATCCACACCTCCACCCCCACCTGTCCCCACCCCCACTCCCACCTGTCCACATCCCCACTCCCACCTATCCCCACCCCTACTCCCACCTGTCCCCACCCCCACTCCCACCTGTCCCCACCCCCACTCCCACCTGTCCCCACAAGCACTTCTTTCATAAATCACCTGCACAGGAATTCGGGCCTTGGAGGAACCTAAGACTCAATTTGCAAGAAAAGTGCCCACTGCCGGGAAGTGAGTATTTCAGCAGGAGTCCGTCCAGAAGGGAAACAAACCCTTTGGTCTCTTCCCCTGAGTGTTGCTTGGGACTCCCAACAAAGGACTTCTTATTCAGCACCTGCCAGGGCCATCAGCAGCCTCTTACTAGGACCGCGGTGGCATCCAACGCTGTTCGGTGCCTTGCCAACCTGCAGGTCCCCACAGCCACGTGATTCAGTCCTTGTGCATTCGAGGAGGGCACAGGATTGCGTGTGCTGGAAACCGCTAGGTGCAGGCACACAGGTGGAGTCAAGCCCCTTCCCCAGGTACCATCAGGGGTCATGTCCTTGCTCCAATATACGTGCATTCTGAACACTCCAAAACCAAGGGCCGTGGCAGTGGAAGGTGGCGGTATGA